TCCTTCTTTTGCGATTCTGTGTGTAGGCGAATCTGTTATGCATGAGATGCCTTGGCCAGAGAACTCAGAGGTTCATATAATTCTAGAGCGGTCCTATGTCTACTAGTCGTCCCTGTATGAATTAGCAAGATCGCCCAGGATAAACTACATGCCAAATGTCTCTGCGTGGCAAATTCTGGGCAGCCCCAAACATGACACATGCATGTACGAAGCTTCCAGGCTTCTGCCGGCCTGGCCTGTCCCATATTAGCTTCACGGCATTTTGCCACCTCCCCCAGCCCGACTGCCAGCATCGGCTGCCGACCAATCGGCTGCCCGAGTTTTAGACGTGCCACTACTAGGGAGTTGCCGTCCATGTCTCCCCTTATTGGGTAGCTGTAGCCTTTGCCAAAGACGACGCGGCCTCATGGATATATTCATAACTACCTCACCCAACCAATGGATCCGGCGTTTGCCCAAATGAGTCCCGCTGTTTAGTGGCAGAAGATCTCTGCAGTAAATAACACGCTGCGGAATGTTTCCTCTCATGTCGGGCAGCATCAAAGGCGTCTGGCAATATGGCGATATAGGTAGACTGCCTGCATGACTAATGCTGCCATGTCGAAAAGAATCTCTAGCATAACGTAGGGACTACGTGAGAATGTATGGAAATTGCCTTATTTGGGTCAGCTCCACAGCTATCCGTGGCTGGGACTGGTTGTCGGAAAACGAAGCGGAGATTTGGTACCAGCTGAACATTAGTGTGATTAACTACAATTGACATTAGTCGCTACCCTTATCAGACCATATTCGGTATTTCAAATGAGATTCAACATTTCAATCTCATGGACACAAACACCCTCTTTGCCAACCCTCCACGTGCAAGATAGAAGGCAGTATGGTAATAAAACTCTTGATCAGCCTGTCTCTTTTTCAAACTAACTTGCGTGGCCTTGAAGGCAAACTAACGGAAGTTTAGCAATTAGATCACTGCATATCGTCCATGTCGCCTTCCTGCCACATGTCTTTATCTAAACAGGTGAATCGCTGCTCCGGAGATCCTCCAGTTCACCCATCAAGTCAAGTATACATAAGAAACAGGAGACTATTTGCGGACGAATGCACTGGCCACACCCGATTTGAACTGGAGCAAAAGTAACCCACGATAAGGAAATTGCATGTACAGGTCCAACACGGTCTACCGTATATATGTCAAATTATAAGTTTTCAGCTTGAACTTCATATGCTGATTCATTTTTGAAATTCAACTGATCCTTCCTGTGTATGTATATAACAAAAAAAAAAGCTGAATTGCTCAGCTTATGATTAGGAACATCTCGCTCGGAGTTGTCATTACGTGTCGCCCATGAAGCCAATACTTTACGAATTCATTTATCGTGGATCTTGTTTTCTTCCATGTTATTTATTCAATCATGAATTGCATACCAAGACTGGCCGCTAACTGGAGTTTTTTAATATCATAATTTGCACAAGTCCTTCATAATTATACATTAAATTCGCTCGAATAGGCTGCAAGAATGGCTTGGGAAGACTGTAAAATAAAAATGAATACCCCTTTGACTTTCAGCATTCATACAGTCTGGTCCGTTGCAAATCTGTCACCTCCGGACAGCTTGGACTTGCCATACTCCATTTCCCTTTGCCGTTTCTCATCTGGACGCCGTCAGCACTGTGACTACTGGAAAAATCCAGTTTTGGAGGAAGACTCACCATGATATTTGTCGACTAGAGGATGCAGGCAGATTCTGTTGAACAAGTCAACCAAAGTAGGTGCCCAGGCTGCCAGTGCCAGGATTTGACCAAAGCTCCAGGCCTGGGAGCCACCGTCCGAGTCACCCGCGGTCGCGTGGGATGAGTTGCGGTAAATGTGGAACAAAACGAGGAATGCCCACATCATCACTCCACACCCAGCGCCGTCAAAACGCCGTGTATAGCGATAGGCCTTTGCCACCCATTCGCGGCCGCCTTTGTTTATATTCGAAGTCCCTTTACGCTTGGTCCGCTCTTGTCTCCAGAGCCGGAATACTCTATACATCAGAGCCACAAAGAACCACACAGCATTAATACATAGCAGAGCGAGGCCTATATAAAGCACAACCTCTACAATCTTTCTTGTTTGCCATGGGTCGCATATGTTTAACCAAACCCATTCTCCGAATTCGGAGTCTCTTTCGACGATTCTCTTGATACTTTCGTCACTCGGGTCTCCGACGGTTTTGAAGTAATCACGGAGATGTAAGGCAAAGAGGGCGACCATCATTGGAATAATAACGATCCACGGCAGCGCCAGGTTCCATCTGTAAATGTGCCGGTCATGAGGGTCGGTCGTCTTTGCTTTCGCGACGGCCTGTAGAACCAAACATGAAAGAACAGAGAAACACGACATGAAGAATGAAACCAACATATTGAAAGTACTGTATGGGATTTCTTGGTGATGGGAGGCGGAATGAAAGCGCCATAGAGCAGCACCCAGCATACCGACAGTGAATATGAGATCCGCAAGAAGGAATTTGTTGACGGTCTTTCTGAAGGCTCTCAGGATCCTAGTGCGTAAACTTTGATCCTCTTTGCCCTTCTTGTGCTTCTTTTCTTCATGGCTACCGGAGGCGAGAAGCGAGGTGATGGCGTGGTGGTCATTTGCTGACTCATTCTCCTGGTATAGATCAGGGGCAAGCAGAAGAATGTAGTAAATTGTTGTCAAGATGGCGACTATATAGTAACTGATGAGCATCTGAAAGTAGTATTAGTACATGGTGAAAAAGCGAAACCCGCACCCGCAAGACACGCACCCCGACACCGGCGAGATCAGGATCCTCCTTCCAGCCGATCTTTTGACAAAGTTGTTTCGAGCAATTCTTGACTGGAAAGTTCCATTCAAAATCATTCCAAAAATTATAGAATTGCGGGTCGTCAATGTTCTCATTATGCTGATTGTAGTACCATGCCGCAAGGCTAGTATTGCTGGTGTTTTGACGATACTCAGAAGGTAGTATTGTGTACAAATACTCAACAGAGACAGATATAGGAACAGGGTGATTTCCTTCCGACTCAAATATGGATATTGCTGTAATGTAGGTGCCAGTCCAATTTGTGGCTGCTGCGCAGGCCTCTGTCGTGAGGTTCCATTTGTCAGGTGCTGGGGGGATCCAGTTTATGACAAGAGGATTCGGGTTGATGGTGTCTCCCAACAGCGACATTTTTTGTTACAGAATCCAAGAGATTTTCACGCTCCAACAGGTCGCGCTAGAAGCCTTGAAAGCGTAGCAAGATCTTGCTGCGACTAGTGTAGGGCAGATCTCATAATCTCCACATTGAAGCGTTTCAAAAGTCTTGCCGGGGAATCTATGTGTTTATCAACTATTCCGTACACTGGACAAGGCTGTCACAAATTATCTGTGGTCACATTCTATTTTTGTAGTCGCGCTTTCCCTAGCCGCTCGAGGTTCTGTTCATAGGAGATAATCTCGTAACATGCAGACAATGACGTTGCTCTTTGGGGGCCAAACGTGGATTGCTGGGGTCTTGTCTCGTCTTCTGGGGAATGAGTTGCAAATGTGTACTCCAAATGAATGTTAGTGTGCATATTATGACGTTTTCTCACATACGCTGCATTCTCATTCACACAGCCTTGCCTTGGCATATTGAAGTGCTTTCCCCAATCAAGCGCTCCAAATGCACAAATCATAATGCAGGAGTTGTTTCGGGGAAATAGTTTGCGTTTCTTAATTTGGATCGTCTAATGGAGAAAGTATGCGTCGCACGCCGACCATTCAAGTTGTGGCTAAAATCATCACATGTTGCTGCGCCGTAGTGCGCTTTGCTATCTCAAGTACCTGCACATATTCACAGTCTTGTGTATCACGACCTGACGACCATCGCGATTTTGAAGAGGGCTAGTATGTAGTTTAAGATAGTAGTTATGCATGATTAAACATAATCAGAGAAAGACTACAGTTCATTCAGTATTTGAAACCTTATTGTACAAAACATCCATATGCCATATGGTGGATGGCGCTATAGATCGCATGGGGATTCGGAGCACACTGATTAGCGCCTTGGCGTGCAGATAGATGTACCAGGGCTTCCTGTCAGTCAAGACCACCCAAAGAGGCTTGCACTTTGTTAATCAAGAGGCAGGCAACCTAGGTCAATGATCAACGTATAACTCAATTAGCACTCATAGCAAATCAATTTCAACTCCAAGAAAGCATCACTCCATTTGACAATATCTGCCTGAGAAGGGCTAGTGAAAGTCTCTCAACTAACGGAAAAGCTGTATCATAATGCCATAAGCCGCATGGTGATTCGTGATCGTGGCGGGGTTCAATTTGACAATGCGACAATGCGACAACACTGACAGAAGCACAGTACGGTCTTGGATTTGACGGATTACCTGATGCCCCTACCCACCCTCTCGGGGGTTCTCAATAGATCTCCTGTACAGATACAAATGTAGTTACCTGGAGGAAATGCTTACAACCCAGAAACATCTCACTATCGTGTTTGCCTGACGAGGACTGCGATGCACTCGGATTGCATCCTCTTGAAGCAAATACAGCCTAGTATACTAGTCCGGGCAAGGAGATATGCCTCGAGCTTTGGGACACGATCAAACCAAGACGTACGCTCTCAAGCACACTAGGGGTCTTGGGTGGTAGCTTTTATAGATAGACCTTGGCTCTACAATGCACTCTTGAATACGTTTCGCCAAATGACGGATTGGCCCACCTAATAAGCCGTTAGGACAGCTCCCCCTGAACTAGAGGTATGCGGGTGCAAACTCGGCGTTTAGCGGCCGTAAAAGCGACCCACTCCTTTACGCGTATTCACGTATTTACGTATTCACGTATTCATGAGCAGATGGAATACGATATCCCTGTATTCACGATTATCCGCGGAATTGAGCTTGGTGGCATTAGGGGATTTCCAGAAGCTTTCTAGAGCCATGCCCACATTGAACCCTTGAATGTGCTATTTATGATTTCTCGGGGTCCTCGCGTATTTCATCTACCAATTCCTCGCAATTTTCCAGATCCTGGCGTTCAAGCTTCCCGAATAAAGCGAAAACCGTCATCACGTGTAGAGATTTCAACTCCAGATATACCACACCTGCTCTACAACATTCCAATGTCTGAAGTATCTTGTTCAGATAATCGACGCAGACAGCCCAAGTCCAAGACTGGATGTCGAATTTGCAAAAAGCGCAGAGTTAAGGTGTGCTGACAGGATTCTTTTCTCCTATGCCGGACTACTGCTTACATCTCTACTCGTAGTGTGACGAGACTAGGCCATCATGTCGAAACTGTCTCAAGTACGGCGCCCAATGCGATTATGTAACCATCAAGGTCCGCGTATCACTATCACCCACCCCGTCAAAGACATCGTGCCTTGATGGGCTCGAAGACGTCTTTTCGATCGACGATGGCTTTTCTATTGACGACTTGGAGCTCTTTCACCATTACCATACCTCGACATGTCTCACCTTTACAACTGAGCCGCATGTTCGGAGTTTCTGGCAACTCGCCGCGCCCCCAATTGGATTTTCGAATCAATATGTTCTGAGAAGCATGTTGGCCATTACAGCATTGCACCTTTCAAGATTCAAGAAAGAGCGAGAAGGCTTTTTCTTGGCCAGAGCATTTATGCACCATCGTGCAGCTCTCGCAATGGCCGAGCCGCTTCTTGTCGACATGACCGCCGAAAACTGCGAACAACTTTTCCTCTTCAACATGCTCGAGAAATTCTTTGCATTTGCACGACCCAAAGATGACTCGGACTTGTTGCTTGTAAATACGCACGAGCGTTCAAGTTCAGAGTGGCTTATTCGATTTCGCAGCGTTCACAAATTAGCTGGCCAGAAGAAACAAAGCGAACGGCTGTCTTTCATTGGCACACTCCTGCAAGACAGATCTCATTTACCACTCGACTTTTGGCTTGCTTATAGTAGCGAAAAGGACGCCCTGGACGAACTCGAAGCCAAGATATATACGAGTACCACCAAAGATCTCGACGCCCTGACTGCCGTACTCGATGCTCTACATCACTTGCAACAAACTTTTGTCGTGTTCAACGAGAGCACGTTTTCAGGAGAGTCCCCAGTTCGAGGGGTATTGTGGTGGCTTCGCACCATTAGCGACGCATATATTGCCTTGTTAGCCGAGGGTGATAATGAAGCACTCTGTGTCCTTTCCTTTTACTGCATCCTACTTCGACGTCTGGAACATGTCTGGTGGGTCGAAGGTTGGGGGTTGCATCTTATTGAGCGCATCTATCGCGAGCTCCCCGACAAGTTCAGATTGTGGATTCGGTGGCCGATCCAAGAAATTGGATGGGTGCCGTAGTACCGGGCATCAAAAATAGACGTGGGCCACTGAAGAACATGGCTCCAGGCTTTGACATTGACGTCTTGGACAGCGTCTTGTTTTATATAATGAATGAAGACAATACATGAAATTTTCATGCGACAAGTATGAAGGTATTGCAGGAGCATAAGTCCTCGAGACGATCTGCGCTTCGGTTCATGCATCATAGTGCATCATTCTGAGTCATTTCAGAATTAGCGTCGATCGGAGCTAACATTGGCGCACCACAATAAGTATGATTTTCCTGTTCACCCCCTAAGAGAGATAGACTTGTAGACGGGGTCTTCATTGCAGACAAACTCCCTTTTCCAAGGACATATGCTGTCTTATGATGGGACCCCCACTGAAATTAGAAAAGCTTCCTGTTGTGCTCCTGCCAACCACCACCATCCCTAGCTACTTGCAAACTGTTGTCGGCAGGTATTCGCCAATATCGGATGAAGTTGAAGAATTCCGCGGCATCCCGTACGCTCGCGTGCCGGGAAGATGGGAACACTCGCACCCCAGAGAACAGTTGCCTCGCGACATATTTGACGCTACAGAGAATGGGTAAACCTGAAAGCTTCCGTTCTAGGCATGCATGCGGTTGACCAGGACTGCTAACAAAGTTATATAGTCCTCGATGCCCTGCACCAAGTCCTGGTGATTCGCGCTCATTTCAATCTTTTCTACCGTATCCCAACGATCGTGAGGACGAGTTCGAGTGTTTAAACCTTCTTGTCGTGCGACCGAGCCCCCTAGAACTGGCAAAGTACGCAAAGTCAGCCAAGTTGCCTGTGCTTATCTGGATCCATGGGGGTGGCTTCGCAGATGGTGCAGCTACAAACCCACCGTGGGGTAAGTTGTTTCATCTTGGAAATCACTGGCGATACCTCGTATGAGTATAGTTACTGATCTCGTACCCAATGCGCAGATCCTGCCCGGCTTGTGCTTCGTGCTCTCAAGAGAAAGAGTCCCTTCATCGCCGTGGCTATCAACTATCGCCTAAACATATTTGGTTTCGGCGCTTCATCAGATATGCTCATAGGGCAGGACGACCATGCCGCTATCAAGGGCGTAAATTTTGGCCTTCATGATCAAAGGCTTGCTCTGATTTGGGTACAACGTAATATCGCCTCCTTTGGTGGTGATGAAACCAAAGTGACCATCATGGGCCATTCGGCAGGCGGAGTCTCATGTCACGTACACCTGCTTGAAGCTGAGTTGGGCACAAAGAGGCCGCTTTTCCACAAGGCCGGATTGCTCTCAGGTGCCTGGGGAGGGCTCGACTTTAGGACCATGGAAAAAGCCGATGAATGGTGGACAGACTTGTGTCGCTTCTGGTCCGTCCAGTGTGAAAGTCCGATCGATCGACTGAACATGCTGAAAAGAATACCTGTCAAAGATCTACTACACAGTGTTTCTGAGTTGCATTGGCGGTTTTTTATTTTGGTCATTGATCAGTTGACCATTATACACAGCAACTTGGACTGCGGTGTTTCCTTTCATTTGGGTCACGACGAACTGATCACTCAGGCCAAGGCGCCTGACACCCAGATTCAAGTCATGTTGGGTGCGACAGCCGAGGAATTTGATGGCTTTGTCCGTCTGGCTAACTGGGACTACGCCAAATTCTGTTCTATTTTTATCCCATCCTATCCTTCAGAAGCAGCAGCGCATTCTGTGCTGCAAGCCTACAACATTCTGCCTACCTCATCCGAAACCGAGCTCTTTGGCGCATTTGTTCAATTCATCTCTGACGCGACGATGATGCATAGAGTATATCGAGCAGGGGAATTCTTGAAAGCCTATCGCAAAGATCAAGCTCTTCTCAGTGGTCGAAAATCAGATGGAGAGGGCGTGCAGTACTATCATGTCGAATTCGGTAATCCCTTTTTGGGCCCATCGCACGACATCGCGCACCACGGTGTTGAATTAATCTATGCCTTCGGAAATTTCCAGCATGCGCTACAAAAGGCCGACCGGGGAATCTTGGATGGCTATAATGAACTTCAGCCAGCTGCTGTTCCTGAACACCAACCACTTGCAGAGATGCATAAAGTTACAGCCTCTGAAGTTGAAGAGACCGATCTCTCTCACATTGATCTGAGCCGTGCAATTCAGGACAGATTTATCGACTTCATTGTCGAGGATAGTTGGCAAACCGCCCGGCGCGCAAACTCTGACATAATCACGACATATCGTCATGATCGCTCGATCCGTTTGGAAAGCTGGACCGACAGCGAGAATTGGGCAAGACGAAGGCAGAGGTACGATGTTCTCGAGCAAGACATGAACTCTATGCTGGTTGCTACAAGAAGGCTTGTTGGAAGCGTTTTGACAATGTCTCTGGAGTGAGGCATTATGACGAGCGTTCAGATTCGTGCTTTACATATCAGCGGTTTCCAAAGTTGAATACTAGTCTTATTGAAAGCTAACGTAAACCAAAATTGTCGTCTATTACCTGGAACTCATGTCGAGCCAGCTACAACTCAAGATCTCTTGCTCAGATACACCTTCAACGTCGGTTTTGCCCACAGTCCAAATATGTGCTGATTGTACCAGTCATTACAGCTCTCATCCAGCCTCAGGTCAAAATGAAACAGCAACTTTGACATGATTATTCTCATCTCGTGGTAGGCGAGGCTGCGACCAATACAGTCTCGTGGGCCGAAACTAAATGGCCTGAAGACATCGCGACGATCATGTTGGAAAGGAGAAAGTAAATCGCCCCCGTCTTGGGAAAGCCAACGCTCTGGTAAGTATTCTCGCGCTCGGTGAAAATTGGCTTCTGACGTGTAGGCTGAAAGGTGGGGAACAGCAACAGTGGTCTGGGATAGATGTTAGCTCATTCAGCCAGGCGTTTTCATGCAGGGTTACCCGGTATATGGAAGACTCACCTTTGGGGGCATCATGATGCCGCAGACCTCCATTGGAACGTCGCCCGGAACGCTGCGTGGCAGTGCAATAGGAACAGGCGGGAAGAGTCGCAGAGCTTCTTCAAGGCACGCATTCAGATATGGAAGCTTTGATCGAGTCTCGTTAAAGCAGATTTGCTCGTCGTGGCTGAAAACGCTCCGAACTTCTTCAGTAGCCAGCTTCAGTGTGTGCGGGTTGGTCAGCATCAAGTAGGTCGCTCCACTCAGCAGCGTGGCGGTGGTCTCGGATCCGGCCACCATGATCAAGTCAGAGTTGACAACGACTTCATCGTCCCTTAGACCGTGCGACTCCCCGCGGGAACGTAGAAAGTAGTCCATAAAGTCTCCACGATCAGGTTGTTTCCGTGCATGGAGCCGACCATGGGCCAGCTTTTCTACATTGGCCATGTGCTTCTCTTGCGCGCGACTCAATAGTGGACCGAGAAGAAGCATGACGGTCTTGAACAGGAGTTTTGAAGTACCGAGCAGCACGAATATAGGCATCATGATGTTCATCTTTTCGATATTTTCGATCCAGGCGTTGGACTTGCCGCTCTCCAGGCCCTGGAGTGATTCGCCGTATGCAAGATCAGCAATGAGGTCAAACGTGGTCAGATTATACCACCGGACCATGTTAGTCCACTTTCCAGTCTCTGCTACCTCACCAAGACGCTTGATCAAAAGGTCAACATAGACGCGAATGAGGGGCTCCTGCTGTACAAGGGCTTTATCCGAAAAGGCGGGCAGCATGGCACGGCGGTAGCGAAAGTGGTCCCGCGCATTCGAAGACAAAATCTTGCGCGGATCCATGTGGATGCCATCTGGGTAGAACTTGGGAAACTCGGCATGGCCATGGCCATAGATGTCTTTCCAGGCTTGAGCATTGGTGAAATAGACTTCGTTGGGCGAAACTCGCAGTATCTCTCCATACTTTTCGTGCAATTCGCGAATGCGAAATTCAGAGTCGCCGACGACCATGCGCCATGATCTCAAGAATGGAAAGGCGATCCATAGTTGAGGACCAGGAATCTTGCGGAGCGGGTGGAGATAGAGGTTGTAGATGATTGTGTAGCACTGATTTGCAATAAAAGCCGCGACAATCAGTAGCAGAATGTTCCTCGTGCCAATCAAGCCATGATATTGCTCGAATTCGCGGTTCAAGGCAGAGAGGACCGCCATTGCGTACACTGAAAGGCGACGATGTCGTTGGAATGATTATTAATGTTTTGGAGATGATTGTTGGGTTAGGGGGAACGCGGGTTTTCGTACTATCTGGGGGCGGGCGCTTCTAACTTGTTTTCATGATTTCGGGATCCATTTTCGTACTCGTACTCGTACCAGCCCATCAACAACGCGGAACATGTGCATTTTTGTTGATACTCTGATCTCCCGAGACTGATGTTACATGGACAATATTCATGCGAGTACAAGATGGCGTATGACGGCGTGTTATCTCTCAATGGCAATAGGCAAAGCTTCAGGTTTATTTCGGATGACAATTAAATGGTGACTGTCTCGAGGTTCGATGCAACAAGATTTAGATTTCACCCGTTTCTTTGCGGGGTTTCCGATGCTCAAGCCCCCCGAGCCCCCAAGGTCCCCCCACGCATCGTCAGTGCCGCCCACTAAGGTCGCCTTGCATTAGAGCAGTGGGGTTACATTTTGACCCACATTATACGCGTATCAGTGCATCAATCGGGGGATTTCCACCCAATTTCTTCTGGACCATAAGGGGGCCTGCCCGGCTAGGTATGCCATCCATGTTGTACTACAGCGCTCGGTGCGAGGTGCATGCATACTCGGAACGAAGTGCATATGCAGGTTTCAAGATGCGATGTGCCGCCCGTTGTGACAGCTATTAAGGTGACACCAACGACTGTTTAGTTTATTATTGTGTCATCTCATGTTTGTCTCCTTTCGATTGAGATTCCCATTAGTAATGTTTGCTGTCCAAATTCCTTCCCAGCTATGTCCTTGATAAACTGAGAGCGCTGCCAGTCGCATCTTCATCACCATGAACTTGAGTTCCATAAATCGAAGCCTGCAATACGGAGATACCACGAGATTGCTATCATCAATTTACATTTGACAGCATGCTCCATTGATCATCAATTCTTTAGAATCTTAGTTTACCCAGCTTGGATCATGACAATTTCTGGTAAACCCAGTTATACAGTACCTCTTTATAGTCTCATTGTGAATACTCGTATAGAGTGGATTCCACATTTTCAACCGTGTTAGCTGCGAAGCGTGAACATATGATTGTACTCGAAAACAGTGAATCATATAAAATATCGAGACATAGAGCTGCTTTCTTTTCAGAAATATGTCGAATATAATTCACAGTTCATGGTTGTATTTTACTCTGCAGTTTCAATTTCCTGTCAGCTCAATGATTTATCTTGTCTTCATCACCTTTTTAGTAGGGGCTCTAGGCCAGAGCTCTTGCAAACTAACACCCTCGGACGACTCCTGGCCAAATGTTGCAGAATGGGCTACTCTAAACGACACCATCGACGGGACACTCATCCAGACCCGGCCGGCAGCGTCATCATGTTACGATGGCAACCCTTTCAACTCGTCCCTCTCCTGCGACTTTGTCGAATCTAATTGGACATCATCCGCCTTCCATGCTTCCATTCCCGAATCGGTCGACTATCCCATTTTTGCAAACAATTCATGTTTGCCGCCAGGCGCGACTGGTTATAATACATCTCTGCTAGGATGCCACATTAGTGGTTTTCCACTGTTTGTCGTCAATGCCACCAATGCACAGCAGATTTCCACGGCAGTTGCATGGGCAGCTGCCCGTGATATTCGCGTGGTTGTCAAGGGTACAGGTCATGACTTGAATGGCAGGTGAGTGGTGCTCTCTCTTTCATCAAACAGACATTTGAAGACGAGGGAGACACAGTTACTAACTCATGCCGACGGACAGATCCGCTGGTGCTTATGCGCTCTCGATATGGACTCACAACCTGAAAACTATACAATATCAGAATGGATGGCAAGTCCCTGGCGGTGGAGTCGATGATGTCTTTATTGTTGGCAGCGGCAATAACTGGGGCGAGATCACAACAGCGGCTGCCGCGGTGGGACGCGTCTGTATCAGCGGGCAAGACGCGACTGTAGGTCTGGGCGGTTTCATTCAGGCTGGCGGTCACGGTCCTCTTTCCAGTCATTACGGTCTGTCGGCGGATAACCTATACCAAGCCACTGTCGTCTTGGCATCTGGAGAAATTCTAGTTGCAAACGAGGTCGAGAACCCAGAGCTACTGTGGGCAATTCGTGGTGGTGGCCCGGGACAATTTGGCATTGTCACCGAGTATGTGCTTCGGTCGCACCCCATCCCGGAGACTGTGGTGGAAGCAACAATCACAATGTCTCTGGCAGCCAACAGCACAGCATATAATTCAACCTGGGCCGGTCTAGCGGCTTTCATGAAGAGCCTTCCAGACTCCATGGATGCTGGCTTGACTGGCAATGGCTACGCCAGATCGACGCCGTCTCAAATTTCCGGCCTCTCCATGACATACTTTGGCTACAACATGACGACTGAGAATATCACTTCTCTGTTGGAACCTGTACGGTCGTCTATACTGGCTCAAGGACTGAACAGTTCCCTCGAAGTCACAATGAGCGAGCCCACCCTTTACCCAAGCTATATGGACTTTTTCAACTACTTGCAGTCCACTGCAAGCGGTGCCGGTGCAGCCAGTCTAGTTTCAAGCCGTGTTCTCGGCCGAGCCGATCTGTCAGATCTGTCCACATGCCGCTTGCAATACCATCTGCGACAGGTCATGCAAGGGCAAGTGGAAGGCAGCGGATCGATGCTCGTCATTGGTCTACAAGGTGGAAAGGGTCCGGCCGAGGTAGAGGATCGCATGCGCGGTGCATTGAACCCAGCGTGGCGTACAGGTTACGTGCACAGCATTGTGACGGGATCCAGCCTTGATCTCACGATCCCACCGCAAGATGCACTGGAGGCAGCTGCGGCCTGGACAGAGGAGGTCAAGGAGACGGCCTGGCGGGAGTGGGCACCCACAGCTGGCGCATACATCAATGAGGCCAACCCATACTCTTCCTCCTTTGCGCAAGATTTCTATGGCGAGAACTATGATCGTCTGGTAGAGCTGAAGCAAAAGTATGACCCTACCAACACTCTCTTTGCCCTTTCTGGCATTGGTAGTGATGAGTGGGACTACAATCTCACCACTGGCAAGTTGTGCCGTTCCACTTCGGTATAATGTTCAATTAGGTACACTAGCTGAGGTGTCAGCTAGTAATGTTCAATTAGATGATTTTCTCTTCGTCTGCCGGGGCAGCCGGTCCTGGGTACTCTTTATTCTTTCCATGTAATAAAAATAGACTTTTATTCGATTCTTCGAACCTATAATTCAGTAGCTTTAGATGAAATATGTACAGGGTATACTGTGTTTGTAACTCTTTGCATACCATGCGCCAGCCGCCCTATCTTAGCGCTCTTGTAATAAGAGTGGCTCCCTCTTTAGTGGTGTTTTAGGCTACCACATAAGTCTCAGTGCCCACCCTGCTAAGAGGTAGAGCTAATATCAACTCCCTGGGCGTGGACTCCGAATCACACCCGAAGCTTCAACTTCTGTCCCCATCAATTCCATCTCCATCTCTTCCCAGACAGGCAAGATGAATGCGGCCAACAAGAAGAAACGACGAACCCATTACAAGTCACGCAAAGGCTGCAGTGAATGCAAAAAGAGACATGTCAAGTGCGATGAACAACGGCCCATTTGCCTTCAGTGTTCAACACTGGGTCAGCCATGTTCATATGCGTACCTAGACCCCTATGGCGGCGGCTCATCCAGTCTAAATGCCGGCACCCTCAGCCAGTCGCCGTCGCCTCTCGCCGCAACAGAATCACCACCTCAATCATTGCCAGGGGTTGGCCCTCAAATTGAGAGCTCAATACCAGCTCAAGCGCCCAAACAAGTCTTTGAACTGAGTCACCTGGCGTTGCTGCACCATGTCGAAACTGGATTGACGAAACCGCCTCATTCGCACCTCGTGACCGATGAGAAGGACGCAGATGCGCTTGTGCGATTAATGGTCACGTCGGCCCTCTCGTCACCGTTTCTCATGGACGAACTCCTGGCCTTTGCCGCTGCTCACCTGAGCGTGCTCACCCCGGAACCCTTGGTACAAGACCAATACCGTGACCAGGCGGCGCATCTCCAGGCGCGCGCGCTGGCTCTATTTAATGCTGCCGGCACGCCCGAGATTACCGAGCACAACTCCACGGCCATGTTTCTTTTCTCGTCGATAATTGGCATGCATATGCTCTTTGACATTGTGACGGCCCAAACAGACCTCCAAGACTTGCTAGAACGATTCATCCATTTTGCCGGCATCTATCGGGGTGTCGGTATTGTCACCGGGCCTGCGTGGCACATTATCCGAGCGAGCGAACTGAGTTGCATCATCAATCTAATTGAGACGGTAGACAAGCTCAACCTTCCTGCTGAAAACACCTGTGACGATCTCATTGCCCGTCTCGCTTTGACTGAAGAGCGGTTGGGTCCACTGTCCTACAGAGCATGCCACGATGCCGTTCAAATATTGCAATGGATTTTCAAACAGCATTGCGCTCTCCCGACTCCCATCAATCGACAGGTTGTCCTCGCTTGGCCGGTACGCATCTCCCAGGATTTTCTAGATCTGCTGCGAAACCGGCAGCCAGAAGCCCTCGTCATCATGGCTTACTGGGCCATTTTATTACATCGCGGACGAGAGTTTTGGGTTTTCGGCCAAGGTGGCAGATCTTTGTTCGACGCTATAGACGGCTTCCTAGGTCCTGCTTGGTCCGAATGGCTGTCGTTTCCAAGAGCAATCATTTGCTTGGATTGATATACTTGCTACCAATCATGGTGCTTGGGTTTTGACCTTGGCGCACACACACAAGCGAGGGGGCCGGTGACGGGATGTGCAAACTATGCAAGCCAAAAATTCAGACCAATACTCTTGACCGCGTCCGATGAACGGGATGGTTGACCCGATATGAAAATGTCCTCTGTGTTTTGGCAAGGCCCCGCACTCAGCCCATGTCGAATACGCGTATAATTCAATTTGTACCCGGCTTGGAGGTCTGGAACGGCCATGCCGGATCGACTGCATCATGCTCTTTCATCCCTAATACACCAGATTGCAGCGTCGTGCTCATCCCCAACTCGATTTGAGAATCGTCAGCTCTTGGGGTAACATTGAAAGCCTACGACATGGTTACTACACTTGAATTTTTCAGGTTACTTCTCACCCTAGTGCAACCTTTTGGAGAATAAAATCCGATACTCTTTCTTCTCCGCGAAACAGACTGCGATTCAACATTACCACGATTTGCCTCTACGCTTAGAAATCTGTCTGACCGAGCTCAAGCATCAATCATTGACCATCCAACGCCTGAGCCAATAGAAGTCACAGAGTTACCGCTGCAGCCCGGTACCACGGAGGTATGCACACTAGAAATTAGTCCACAAGAGGACTGGGTGCATTGGTCAGTGCCTGTATGTTGTTGGATTCCAGACTGGCAGTTTTACACCAGACGGTACCTGTAGTAGCGGTAGTCATATTCGCCGTGCTCCGGATCCCAGCTTGATCTATAGTGGATAGCAGATCATCTTTATCAGGATCGATGATGGCTTGTTTCCCAACGGTGATCCGTGGAATTTGCCGACCGGTGCTCTGTCCTGAAACGCTTTGTTGAATCCTGGAATACGAAAAATACGAGTTCTGAATGTGGATTCAAGTATTCACCAGTCTTCCGAGCCAATGGAACCTTGACGACTGTTATTCCTACCGAGTACAAGCAGCCTGCAAATTGTGTCTGATCTTGACATCGGACACTCGCCAGATATGATTCCCGAGATGGGCTTGAATGAATATGAACGAATATTACTCAATTGTGATGTCGGAAACAATCAATGTTTTCTATTTCTCTGCTAGGCAATCTAATAGTAATCTGCCTACTCAAGCACATCATTCTCTGATGTATTTTAATTCTATCAAAAGCATCCATCTGATTGATTCGACTGCAAGCACTCTAACTTTGCCAAACCATAATGGATAGTTTGATACGCCCAAGAAATTGGGCCCTGGTGAACTTTATTTGTGTGTCTGCAATAGATATGGACAGAGGGCGTTTGCATCTTTGCTGCGCCAGTCGTCGCTTAAGCGCGCTTGATCATGGCCTCACGGTCGGGACCGGTGCCAATCCACTTGATCTGGTTATTGTTAGTAAAAGCCTGCTAAGCAGCAATATGTTCAATTTATCGTACCTTGACTCCGACAAAGTTCTCAATGAACTGGAAAAGGACGTTAGCAAGAGTCATTTTAATACTGGCAGGCATCTTACCTCAATGTACTCTCTGGCTTGCTTGGGAAGGTCGTAGTAGGACTTGGCATTCGTCGTCGGCTTTTGCCATCCCGGCATTTCGTGGTAGATGACCTCGGCTCGGTCTAGAATGTCGAGATCCGCAGGGTAAGAGTCCAGTTCCTACAGCCCATTAGTGTCCGCCTACCTATTGCCACTTAAGGACGTATACTAACCTGACCGTCAACCTTGTACCCGACGGCAATCTTGATCGTCTCGAAGGTGTCCAAGACATCGAGCTTGATGGACAGTTAGTTGAGATGAACAAGGCCGCAAGCAACTCGAAGCATGGATATACCTTTGTGAGATTCAAAGCTGTGTAGTAATTGATGGAAGTGCTGTACTTGACAACAACAAGGTCTATGCAGTGAGTCAGTGACGTCGATCAATCAATGCAACGACATGGTGGTGTAATTACCAAGCCTGAAAACGATTAGCGAGTCGTTCAATGGAGCTTTGTTTCGATTAAGTGCTTACCATCCACATCTGCGTCTTCGACCAGTCGAAGTACCCTATTTTATAGTCAGCCTTGGAAAGTATGAACTTCAGTGCCCATGAACTCTAACCCATTCGCGGCCGATCTCCTGCAGCTTGGTGCCAGTCCTGTAATAAAATATTTAGTTTCTCTCCCACGTCTTTGGCAGTTCTGAACGCACTCTCCGAGATCTTCCGTCTTGAACGCTCCGTGTCCGACACGAGTTGTGTCTACCGTTGGTCAGCACTGAATGATGCCTGAAAGTACAAAACATACAAGCCTTCACAACTCCGATTGTCTCAGTGATGTTCTTCGGGTTCAAGGTAAGACCGCCAATGATGCCAGCCAGTGTCGTATTAGACGAGGTTACATACTGATTCATCTGTTAGTATGTCTGTGGATTTGACGATCAAACTATCAACAACTTACTGGGTATGAGCCATATTCAATGTCAAGCATCAGTGCCTGTTCAAACGAGGAGGAGCACCGGCACCTGGCCTCACATCCCCTTTCCTTGTCAACAAGACTGAGTCTATGTCGGCCGCTCTGCTAGACATAGAGACCAAAATAATCCGACATGAAAAAAGCCCCGGAATCATTTAGAGACAAGGTCATCGCATGCCAGGCATAGCGATTGACCCCAAAGAACCAGATTTGGTTCGTCTCTAGATGATTCCAGGGCTTTATTTCCACATCAGGAGTATCACTCCACTGAATAACCGAGCTCAAGATCCGGCAGACCAGATCTACGAGCCAGTCTTCTAGTCTATCGAGATCTTAGCGGAGAGCAGAAGAGAGCAGCATGACTTCTTTGCGGGGATCATGTTGGAATGTAACCAAAATATTGCCCTTTCAAGAGTGATTCCTGCACCTCGCTCCCCGCCTAGGATTCCGGGCCAGGACAAGGAAAGGGGAGTGCGAGACCGTGAGCACGGTTGCGCAACCCCCCAAAGGTCAGTATCGAGAATACGTGGTTTGAGCAGGTGTGCTCTTACATTAGCACCTTCGACGATGATATTGGTACCGCTTTCTTGAGCTGATCGCATGAACGAGACGCCGTCAACAGCGAACTTTGCGAGAAGCGGGCGGTATTCGTTGAATCGTGCAAGCTCGTCCTCAACCGAGTACTTCAGCAAGTCACCATAGCGCTTTCGGTAGCCATCAGCCAACCGTCGGAGCTTGGACTCGAACAATTCGGCATTGAAAACTTCGGACAATCTGATTCCAGATCGAGCAGCTTTGGTGGAATAAGCCGGGCCAATACCCCTTTTTTTCACGACAGTGTTAGTAACTGCTCTCTGCAGACCAGCAAAGCTGGGTCCGAGTCCCCTATAAAAATGTGCCGATAGAGGAATATACAAGACGGACTACTGACCTTCGGGTGGTGCCTACACTCTTTGCTGGGAAAAGTTAGCTTATATTGCTCCATTTCTGGGTGACCCAAGGCCGGGGGAAGTCCAGGAACCAACCTCCGAGCTCCTCCTCCTCAAGTCCATCGACTGCAATGTGCAAGTCCAAGTCAATCTGTACACGGTCGGAGACAAGAATACGGTCTTGGACCGAGGGGAGGCCCTTCTCTTCGAGCTCCTTGAGCTCCTTGAAGAAGCTGGGACTAGAGGACCAAGTCAATATCTCAATATCCAACGATGGTCGTGCAACCAGGTATCGTCATATATGAGCGGGTAAGGGCAAATTAGATGGCAGTCAAGCGATTGACTTGATGCTGGTAATGCACGACGAGGCAATGTGACTTACACGTGAAAGACGACTCCCGATCCGATGAAGTTCATGCTGTGTGAAACGTTAGTGATGCTGGCTCATCTGGGTAAAGTAGGAGTGGAAGTATACCATTTCGGGTTGACGAAACCAGAGGGAAGCAAGTGGAAGCTATGTAAATGTGAGTTGCTGTTTAGAGACTTTCCGTGCCTATTTATGCCCACCTATAAGAAACTCCATTGGCGCTATAGAGTTGTTGTTAGCCATTCGTTCTCACACGAGTCAATTGCCGGGCAGCAGGGAGTGTTTGACTAACACAATGGAGTGACCAGCGTTGTGACCACCCTTGTTTTCCAATCAGTATAAATTCGCCATGGTGGATCGTCTTGATGCTCACAGCAGCACGGGCGCAAAGTTGCGCCTCGGGGCAGAGGATATCGGTCAGCTTTCCTTTCTACACCATGTTCTATAGTCAGAGATTCGTTCGCTCGAAAGGTACTTCGTAGCCTGTGTCAAGGCTTGGTTTCGGGGCGCAAGGAAGAACATACACCCTCATCTCCTGTAAAACGCGATGGGTTAGCAACCGCAAAGAACGTTGATAGCATCACACCTATTCCCTGCCCGGTATCGGCCGGGGACAGGGTAAATGGAGGGGTAGGAGGGGTGGAAGAGGACGAGACATACCCCATTGGGAGCCCAGAATGATCTTGATTGTCATGTTGCGATAGTTCTGGCTTGAATGCACAAGACTGCTTGTCGTTGTGTGAAGGAGGGAAAAAAAGACGCGGTGCGCAAAGATCGCCCAGAAGTTTTGACGGGTGCGTCACTTTTAAGTGCACAAACGGCTAAGTTCCAATTGGGTCGGTAGAAGTCAGTGCTGCTCACATGCAGGCGGTACAAGTTATACTAGGCGGTTTGAAAGGCAGTTTAGCGAGAAACTACACCTCTGGCAGCTGCAAAAGTCCAACTTTCAGGGGAACAGCAGCTGGGAATCAAGGCCACGGGTACTTGCCCCGCGCGAGAACCCCACCATCAAACAAGCACGAACAACATTTGCGCCCCTCCACCGGCACCGAAGACGGACTCGGGAGGGGCTAACACGCAAAAGGAGGCCCACCACTAGAGAATGAGTGTACCAATCATGGCAAGACATTTGACTCAATCTCTGTTTTTCATATCCGAAAAGCAAGGTCGGTACAAGATACATACCCATATTATCAGCCCTACACGGCTCATCGGCCGGCAAGGAATTTGGCATTCCCCTCCTCACAGTTTGCGGGATTCAGGTGGACGACAGCTTTCGGGAGTTTGAATATTCCTCATTGAAGCCGTTGTTGCAGGAGTCAAACTGTGAAGAGCCCAACTTGACTCGGGCAGTCTCCGTCTCACTGATCCGATGTTCGCGCGCCAGCTTCCTCTGCGTGAGCAGCGAATGACAAATCCTTCTTTTCTTGGGTATCGTCAACGTCTATCCTCTCTAGAACGTTCATCAATTGGTTTGCTCCTCCCGGACTGTCAACAGATCCACTATTCGGCAAAGGGTCACTAGAAATGTTTGCACGTTTCTCCAGGTCTTCCAAGCGTTGCTTCAGAGTCTTGCCTGCAGTCATTAATTAGCATAGTCATCCTCACTCCTCTGCCTCTCCGCCCTTGCATTGAGAAATCGGCTTACGATAATGACGTTGAGCAATACGATTTTGAATCCTGCGTCGCTCTGCAAGATCGGTGATCTTCGTCCAGTCTTCGTCTGCGTCTCCGAGCGCCGCATTGAGACCGGAATTGGGTATGCTAGCGCGACTGGCTGAGGGGATGGGTGGTGGAATTAGTTCGGACGAGTGTCCTGGGCCTAGTTCAATACCTATCTGAGAAACCAGTTCTCGGTGGTCGTCGGGGGTTTCATATCCCTTATCCACAAGATTCGAGGTAGCAGGTAAAAGTGTGTTGGTGTCTGAGCTGGAGATATCTGTATATCACGTCAGCATGGAAGAACAAAACTAGGTCGACGGCTTTTTACCTTCGTTATGCAAGACACTCTTTCTACCACTGGTCTTCGATCGCACATATGTCCATCCATGCGCCTTTTCCATGTGTTGCTTGCAGTTACTCTCCCGCTTTGACTTGTACGGGCAAGGCGCAAATAAGCATGTGTACATGACGGTAGGCGCTTCTTCGTGCTTGTCGCTCCAGTGTCGATCCAGCTCCTTCTCGGTTGGCCAGCCATATTCTCTATACTTGCACGTGGGGATGGGACACTTCCATGGCCGGCTGTGTGTCTTTTGATGTTTCGTCAAGTCGCAATCTCTCTTGAACTCCTTACCACAGCCAGGCTCCTGGCAAACCATTGTGTACGGGAAAACACTGTCCTGGGCACGCCATGACATCATGGCCCTCACTACGTCGTCCAGTTCAGTCAGTCCCAAGGTTTCCAAACCGGGATCTGGTAGAGGACGCCCTGTGTGTTCCATATCTCGCGCACGTCGAAGTATGCTTTTCTCAGCATCTGGAAAATACCCTTTATCATATGGTCGTTCTCCAGAACGAATTTGGGTTGATAAATCCAGGTCAAGCGAGGCCTTAGAGATCTGTTCCAGTACCGCAAGACTGAATTTCTGATACAGTTCGGCATTCGATGAAGTTTCCTGGACCATGTCAGATAATGCATCGACGGTGAGCACCATTAGAATCTTGATCCTTACCATGGCTATGTAAAGTAAAGCGTCCTCGACCCCTCTTAGTATGGAACCAGGCTGTATCAATTCACCGATTCGGAATACCCATGGCTTGAAATGGGCAAAATCGTCCCTTTCGGACAATGGTTCCAAAATGACCGCTCGAATCTTCTCGACTATATCCAAGTCCTCCACTTTGTTGAGTGGTTTGATGTTCAACATGGGTAGTTTCCTCGTTTCCTCGTTTTCTTCTACATCGGATGACTCTGAAGAGGCTAAACCAGAGTCAGCATCGGTACCGTCTTCTGAGTCAGCATTAGTCGGCAGTATCGTCAGAGCCACTTCTTCCAGGTGTTTGGCTATATGAGAGCTGAAATGATCGTCTCCATAGAATGTGTTCTCCTGGCACACAGGACAATTGCGGGTTGTACTCTGGCTGGAAGTATGTTTGAGGTCCATGTGGTCCTTCCATTCCGACTTCGTCGCAAAAAGCTTCTCGTTCAGGACGCACGTGCTGACCAGGCATATATATGGCTTCAGATCAGAAAACAGATGCTTCCTAAAATATAGTCAGCGAGTGTTGCATCGAACGTTGGAAGCCAAAAACTTACTTCCATGACGACTTTGTCGGAGCAGTGACCATCTTATTGCATCCAATGCAAAGAAATGGGGTTCCAACCTTGGCTCCAGCCGGGAGCGATGGAATGCGAACAGTGTCTCCCTGCCCTCCATAGTATGATACAGTGGTCTCTGCATACTCGATAGCTGGAGGTCCAGAAGCATTCGAAGGAATCGAACTTCCAATGGCAGAGTCGCGGAATGTCGTTGCCTCACTCGGCACAGTATCTTTGGATTTCTCTGAGCCCATTACACTTTCGTGTCCGAAACGTGACCTTTCGCCAGACTCAATCCGCCCGTCGGGTTGTACCTCGACTTTCCGCTGGTTCATGTCTTTGATTGACTGCTGCCGAAGCACTCTGGTCCAATTGGCTCTTCCTAGGCGGCTCGAAACTTCGAGGTCACATTTGGGGTACCGCCAGCGCACACGGTCAACAAATGTGTCCGATGGGTCCCAGACAATGAGTTCCTCTGGGTCAACAGCGGTCTCCGTCACAACGGGCCCCACGGCATCTTCTTTGAACCGAGACCCTAGATCCAGGAGACATTCTGTATCAGTTCTGAGGTCCTCTGCTATGTCATCTAGATCTGGAGCAGTATCCGAGACTTGGGATGATCCACTCTCGGTGTCGGAGTCGGAATCGGAGTCTGCGACATCGTCTTGAGAGGCGATGAGTTTGAGGAGTTCGACTTTGTGCGCGACTTCTGCTGCTCTGTCTTGCAATCGTAGCTGTTGCTCTCGCCCCAAAGCTGGTAGTAAACCTGATTCACCTTACTTAGCCTTTTGAGAAGAAGCCTGGGACAGAAAGGGTCTCTTACGCTTAGTCAGGATCTGACATATACTTATCAAAAGATTAATGGTCGTGCGCTTAACTCTTCGTGATTTGTCCAGGGATGCATCCAGCTGTCCTTCAGCGACACCATATCCATCGGCCCACAAGATAAGGTAGCTGTGGCTGCGTTGAAGCTTCAGAAGAAGTCCTCGTTCAGTGGCAGGATTTGTACCAAGCTGGGCGACGATCTCTGCATAGAACTCTGAACACACTGCGAAAAGATGCGAGACTGGCGGTTTTTCATCGATGTGGTGGTCATCCTTCACAGATTGCTGCCATTTCAGCACCATGTCAACTTCGGCCATGACTTCCCTCAGTAGGGCTCCTTGCCAGGCCTCGGAGCATACCCAAGTGCTGGCCGATGAAGAATGTTGAAGTTAAATTGGTGGTAACAACCAGTGTCGTACCTTACTCAGTCAGCTGAACAATCCCGCGTATCCCCGATGAGGATTGGGGGCGGCTCACCACTGGCGGGGGTCTGCATGAGATCCATCATATCCCTGATTCTGACTGGTCGCGCTGACATACACAGCCACACAGTTGCCGCACTCAGTACAGGGTCCATTGGCGGTATTCTGAGCTCGCCGCTCACCTTGACTCCGATCATGCGATCAATGGGGACCAAACTTGTCAAATGCATTGAAACGTGTTTGAGCAGGTCGGGCACGGGCAATTATCGCCATGGCTGAACTTGCGCTGGCCATACTGCCATTATGTTTTGGTGCTGTAAAAGGCATCGTCATTGCAAAGAAGAAGTTGAAAGTCTTGCGCCACCACCACAAGGAGATTAAGCGATTGCGGAAACGATTCAACTCACAGACGGACATTTTCCTAGACGAATGTCAACTTCTCTTTCAGGAGTTCCTGAGCCCTCAGGACGCTGAAGCATTGGTGGAAAATGATAAGCATCCGGGATGGACTTCGCCAGAACTGGGAGCCAAGGTGAAGGGATATCTAGGTAGGAGGTATGGAGCGTTCTGTGAGGCAGTCGGCGACATTGCAGAGGCCATCAATTCGCTGAGCGAGGCACTCGACACGAATACGGAGACGGTCAGTGGGCAGGAGAAGGTGAGACCATGGTGATTACCCAAGCATGTTTCCGTACCATTCAGACTAATCCTCACTCAAACGGTAGCCAAAACTCTCTAAAACTGTCCTGAAAGCTGTTGATATTACACTTCACCAACGCAGATATGAATCTGTGATTGAGGGGATGAAAGAGTCAAATGCAGAAATAAAACAAATCAGAAAAACGACAAGCAATCTCCAGAAGAAACAATTAAAGACAATAGGCAACAAGAGATCTAGACCTCTGCCAGCTGTTTATCACCAGACGATGCTCCATTCCAGGTCATTCTATAATGCTTTGCGGAGTTTCTGGTCATGCTTTCAAGCACAGCATACACGCCATGACCTCCGTCTGCTACTCGACTCCAAAGCAGACGGCAATCTTCGGGTAATTTTGTGTTATTGCACCAGCTCTGGAGTTCATGTGAAAGAGTATGACATCGTCCCATCAATACTTCTACGGCCAAGACTGACGAGTAGCCGACAGTGGCTTGGTGGACCTGGTGGTGCGATCGCAGAGCCTACATTTGATCCAAATCTCGCTCCCCGGCACCACGGATCAAAATGCAAGAGAAAATGTGGACGTGGAGAGACGGAGCAAGAAAAGAGTGAGATTTTCCGATGATGCAGTCCCATCGTGCGACAGAGCTTCACAAGAACCAGAACCAGACCAGGTGCCTTCATTGCATTCTTCGGCATCAGACTTGTGCTCGACGGGAGACATTTGCTCTCAACTCTGCTGCAAGACCAGTGATGCCCGTCCCACCGGCGGCTACCTCGACACGCCCGAGGATCTCCGGCACCACTTGTCGCCCGTGTGCCAACCGGGCTGCGACCACCGGGACTGCTTCCACGCCAAAGCTCTGCAAGCGCCCACGTCGCTCGACGGCATCTTTCGCCTGCCGGTGGAGCGCACCCTCTCGGTGCCCGAGCAGGTCCGGCTCGCACTCAAGCTGGTCCAGGGCGTGCTTCAGTTTCATTCGACGCCATGGCTCCAGCCCTACTGGCGACTGCAGGACTTGTCATTTTTCCCGACCGATGCCGGCCTGGCCGACTCGTTGAACACGCTGCACATTAGCGCCGAACTCTCTGGAGAACAGCGGCGCGCGCAGGCGTTCCACGATCAGAAACAAGAGCTTTGCTGCGATGCCATTATGACCAATAGTGACGGGGACGGCGAGATTCTAGATGCACAGATCGCATGCGGCATTCGGAATATGACCATGCATAGCCTGGGCGTGGCGCTCCTCCAGATCGGGCAGTGGACCGTCCTGCAGCCCGACGACGTTGTCGAGGTGAGAAAGATTGCGGACCTGGCTGACCGCGGCTCTCGACTCGGGCCGCGGTACCAGAAGATTACTCAACAGTGTCTAGACTGCGATTTTGGGTTCGGGAAAGACTTACGTGAGCCGCAGTTGCAGGCTGCTATTTATAGAGATGTGGTTTGTGAGCTTGAAAGTTTGGTCTCTACTCTAGAGGGAACAGTGCCCCAGATCTGATGGCTCATTTAAGTAGGCATAGGAGATTAAACATATATATTTCCTTTATAAAAGTTTATGCGGCACAAACACAAAATTGATGGATAATTAGCGCTACTTTCTTGGTCAGGTCATTGCTTGTATTCCTTCATCTCATAGCGCATTGGTTGTATACGTGTTAAGATGGCAACACCTTGTATGCATGTGCCTTGATAGGCAATTGGCCTTTCTACTGCCCCAACAATTCCGTCGCCAATAATGCCTTTTGTTCTTCCGTGGGCTCCTGGCCCTTGACCTTCTCAGCCTTGGACGGGTCGTATCTCCAAAGGCCACCAGTCTTGTCAGAATCTCCCGTCTCACTCATGCCAACGTTCGCGGCAAGTGTGCTGAGCGCTGCGTCAGAACCTTCCGGCATGGCAGTGAAGTACCGTCTCTCCCAAATGCGACCCTCTTCTTGCTCCTTCTTGCGCATGGCACGCTGAGCTTGCTCGATCTTGGTCTTCTCTTTGCCAACAAAGTCCATGTCTCCACTAGCAATGCCCTTGGCAACGTTTGCCCAGGCGCGGCGGGATTCCAAGGGGTGCTGCTTCTCAATGGGAGCCACGATCAACTTGCTGGTGGCAGTCAAAGCTGGATCCCATGAGTCGACCAGGTTGCTGCTGCTGTTGTGCTTGGCAGCGCCCGAGTGGATCTCAAAAGCCTTGGTCCATTGGCCCGAAACATTGTAAACGACCTCCTTCTCCTTTCCAGTCGGGTGGAGTACCGCGGTGAAGGAGTTCTTCTTGCCGCTCAACCAACCCTTGCCACTGTAGTCGATCTTGGCAGTGAAGCCAGTGGAACTTGTAATGTATGAGGCGCCGTCCAGCTCTATGAAAGGTGCTCCAAACAGGAGTCCCTCGACGTGCAGGGATGGAAGTGTGATGAGGTATGTGTCCTTTTCTCCGGGCTTCGAGGGGTTGGGAACGGTCAGAAGAGCGTGTCCGATCTGCTTGATGTTGATCGTCTTGGAGAAGGAAGCCTTCTGTGCGTTAAAGCCCTCGAGGTGTACGCCGGATTTGTCGTTGGTGATGCTATAGGCGGTCGCAGGCGGGTGGTGACTGGCTCAAGGTTTAAGCTTTCCCGTACGCTGATCCAAGCTACATGCTAGTTGCTTACCTCACTTGCTCGCTAATCAGCTCGGTGGTGCCAGCATTGTCTTGCCATGAGCCCAAGAAGAGTTCTCCGAGGAACGGGTTGAGCGGCTTCTTTTCGTTGCCATATTGTTCGCTTCGGCTGGCGTATTGTTGCCTCAGGGTCGTCAAGAACCACTTGAGTACGAGGACAGCTCGCTTTGCTGCGTCTGGCTCCGAAGCGGGTGCTGCAAAGACGGCAGGGTGTTCGCACCAGTAGGAGCTGAACTCGGTCAAACTGGTCGAGGAGAGAATGAAGGGAGGGGCGGTCAGAGACGACAGATCGCCGTTGAAGGATGCGATGGACTGGATGATAAACAGTCACTTGTTAGTCTCTTGTTCATGCTGGAGTTCGAAGGAGGGAGCGCGACAACTCGGAAAACATTGGACGTGGGACTTTGCGCACCTTTATGAATGACGTCCAGCTGGCACCTGTGGCCTGAGGATGCTGTGCCTGTTGACCTTCAGACATTTTGTTCGACGTCTATTGTAGTGTAAGTGTTTAAAGTGTCTACTGCCAGTATCCTGGTTTGTCTCGAGTCTGGATAGGTATGGATGGATTGTGGAGTGACGCAGGGTCAGAGAAGCTGGCAAATGATCCTCGCACGTGGAAGCAAGAAGAGCAAGGAATCCCAAGCTGAGCTGCAGGCTGCTAATGCTGGTGGAGCAACAGTCGAGAGAGTGCCGACAACAGAAGGGCTGGAAATTGCGAAAGGAGAAAACAGTCGGTCCCACTCTGGCTGGCTACGTGGGCTTGGAGATTATATTGGAGATGTGTTTAATTATGGAGCCTAGTTGCCAAGCTGACAAGAAACAAATACGTACTACGTGTCGTCGCACTGCCCGGTTGAAAAGTACGCGAACCAGCAAACTAAGAGAAGTTTCAAGCTTGGAAGGGAGCAAGCTTGTGGTGAACGGTTTAGCCTGAGGGAGGCAGACTTGGCCCATTTGACGTCAAGCTACGACGACGTCATGAATGGACAGCTGCTCCCGTGAGGTCCTAAAATGTTGGGACCTGCTTCTGGGCACGCGGGGAAACGCGGGGCATACATGTGCGATATGTACATAAATCGTATAAAGGCATATGAATACCTAACTGTCTATATTTTCAGGGTCCTGCCTCAGTTGCACCAGATTTCAAGATGAAAAAAACACCTTTGGGCATTCACTTTGCGATATTTCTAACGTGTTCTTCTGTATATCTCTTGTATATCTTCTCCGGATATTTACGAGCATCACTCTGACTCAGACATGCCTTTACGACGTCATTGCTCTTGCTCACCAGACAATCTTCCTGGAGGGTTACTGTGCAAGCAGAAACTCACAGCCAAGAAGTGAATGGCTTGAAGCAAAGTAGCTCGGAAGTATCTGTGGTATCATCACCGTCAGGAGTATTCTATTGATCAGGATATCAGATCTGTTCCCTTTGTTTTAGGGCCACCAGCGAGCTGTTCGATCTTGGCTGTCCGTGCACCAAACTGTATCTATAAGCATGTCAGTATGAAAGGGTATAGTTCTCCGTGACGGTAACACTTACGGCTCTCTTCTTCTCGCGTGCTGTCGATGGGAGGTCCAGTTGATCCGCGAGCAATCGCAAAACTCTCTTTGCCGGCTCAATACCAGATGCATCAGTCGGACTTTCAAAGTCGCATTTTTCCCACACAGGACACTCAATCGAGAACTTGATGAAATCCTCGTCTAGAAATGGAAAGCGTACTTCCTTACCCCAGCACGACAGTATCCGATCGTCTCTTCCCAGGTTTCTTTCACCGATTCTGCTTACATCGAGCTTCAGCTCTTCGATCAGCCCGGTATAGCCGTTGCGCTTGAATGCAACCTCGTGCCGAGAGTATCCTCCAAAGAGCTCATCAGCACCAAGGCCAGACAAGAGTACACGAGCTGTTGTTTGGACTGTATGAGCGACTGGCTCTGAATCTGCAGGGTCTGTTTGTGGGTGACCAACTCCACGGCTGGCAAAGTACAATGCTAGCGCAATGGAAAGATCCATTTCGGTATTGTGGGGATACATGAGTGAAACAACTCGTGATCTATGAGACATGGCTTCCGCAAATGGGACGTTTACCTGTACAGAGATCAGCCTAGTCACAAAAGCAGCTTTTTTGGGTTTGTCGTACTGCAAGAAATCGCCAGCGCCGTGTAGGACATGCGGCTTTGAGCTCTGCAAAAGCTCGTCTACCAGTTACTCTATCAGGACATGCCTCATATACCTCGGCCAGTGTGGCTGATGATGCATTTTCCTGAGAGGCAGCTTTGCGAGCGTTCTGAAATGCAACATTGATCAGATCAATAGATTGCGAGCTAGGCATTACCTCATGAGCCAATCGCGCCATAACGGTGCAGTCTAGGCCTCCTGAGAACAGAACAGCGACACGTGCATCATCATCGCCGTTACTACCCGGAACCAGGGGAGGTTTGGGAACATTGAGCACGCGCATCTTCAATGCTTCAACAAGATGCTGGCGAACTAAGCCAACAGAAGGGGAGTCGTGATCGAGCTTTTCATGTTGGTCCGGTAAGATCTTGTTGAATCTTCCAATGCTCGAGACCTATCAACGATGAGAATGAGGGCAGTACCTTTGAGGGGCCATCTGGCACTTACCAGATCAGCTCCAGTTTCGGCCACCCAGGGATATTTTTGGGGGGCAATGTTTTTGACGTCGCTAGTATTCAATGATATAGCATAGATACCATCCGCAGTGACCTCTTTCCAATCGGCTACCTGTGAGTCGGACACGCTCGAGAATGCGATCCCACCAACAGCTTCCGAGTGGTTGACAAGGAGAGAGCGACGACCAAGTCGGTCGCGGCCATAGTACAGACACTTGCCCGGTGCATCATAGTAAAGACAGGCAAAAGGACCTTGTATCTGTCTCAAAACGTCAATGGTGTATGAGCGACGCTGCTCATCTTCTACGAGAGCATTGGCTGCTAACCGGGCAAAGATTTCCTCGCCGTCGTTGCCCTCAACAGCCTGACCATCAATTCTCCATGCTTCACCGTTCCAGCAGAGAACAGAACCGTGTTCCGGGTGCTCGAATGGTTGCTTGGCGAGATGGTCGCCTCTCAGCGCTAGTACCGTGGATGTAAAAGTGAGCGAGATGAGAGGCTCTTCTTGAGAGTCTGAAGACACGGAGCGTGTGACCTGACCCAGGAAATCGGGGCCGCGGTTCGCCAGTGATTCTTTCAAATTTGCTGATAGCTCTTGGCCCGAGTGCACTGTGACCAGGCCATGAATTCCGCACATGGCTTTAAGACGCTTCAGTCGAGCATCAAAGTCTTGTTGCAATTTGGTAATCTGAAGATGCGCCCGCCAAAATTGCCCATTCCCGATTCGCGTGGCGGCACCAGCGGTGGACAAACTCCACCTGGCTGTCAGCTGGCATGCCCCGCAAGCTTAAATCGACGTTCATAGTAGTAACCGCATACCTCGGCCATTTCTAACAAGCACGCCCGTAACCCACTACCATTGGCAATATAGAGTAAAAACACGGTAATATTGAACTATATATAGAATCAAGGCTTATTTCAATATGATTGTTTAACCTTTCGGGTTATCCATGAACCGCAAACTCTACTCATCAATAGCCTCGGTTGCAACCAATAATGGCAACTCATCGCCTCTGGAGACCCCATGGGCCATGGCTTGCGTATCATCCATGTTTGCTTCAAACACTACTATGAATGCCTCGTCGTGCAGGTAGTTTCCCAAGACAGCCAACCGTGTAAGCCTTGTATGTAATCAGTAAAGGATCTACATGGCTTGGTGTACCGAGGCACAGAGCCTCTCCGCCCTCCCCCAGTTACTCCAGGTTGGCAAGTTGGAGAATGCGGGGGATGGTCACAACTGCCATCATTGGCTGTCCGCTACTGACGCCCTTGTCTCTGACCCCGAAAAGGGACAGAGCCAGGAGTAATAATTCCTTGAGAATGAGAGGGCGGGCCCTCTTGTCACGATTTTCTTTCTCCATAATGAATTTCTGCATCTTCTTGAGAATAGCAACAAGTTACAGACAAGTTAACGACAAACAAAGCGTGTCATTGATCCTCTAGAAAGCCCGTACAACTTTAGACCTAGACTTCCGCAACCATGGCTTCAATAGTCGAGAGGACAAGCGAGGGCATTGTTTACAAGCCCTGGCGGAATATGGAAGTCCCCGATCTTGATGTCTTGACTTTGTTGTTTGGTGAGATTCAATTCACCCCATCATAGAGGCCTTCCACTTACACGCAGTTCTAGAATCACAACAGTGTTATCAACCCGATGGTACTATTCTCCATGCGGATGCCGCGGAACCCTCCAACCATGTCACCAAGGGCAAATTACGGCAAGACTTGAAGAAGCTTGCCCACGTACTCCGGAACCGGTTTGGCATTGGTGCTTCGGGTCCGAGCAAAGATGTAGTCTTTACGATATCCACCGGACACTATCTTTTGCCTCTCATGTTCTATGGTACAGTGGCTGCCGAGGGCATCTTTTCTTCCACCAGTCCTGGTGCCACTCCGGATGAGCTCGCATTTCAGCTGAAGCAGACCACTCCCAAGATCATCCTCTGCAACCCGGACACTCAGGCCAATGCCATCGCGGCGGCCAAGAAGGTGGATTTCCCACTCAACAAGATCATCTCGTACCGCGGCGAGAAGGAGCTGGAGCTCTTTGAAGCGGTGAGCGGCACAAAGATCCCCATCCCCAACCAATTGTTGGAGTGGAGGCGCATCACGGACCGCCGCGAGCTCGAGTACAGCGTCGTCTGCCTCTTGTTCTCGAGCGGCACAACTGGTCTTCCCAAGGCCATGAAGCTTTCCCACCGAAATCTCGTTTCCGGTGGCACCCTTCTGTTGGAACCCATCAAGGAGTTCAATGCGACACATCGGCCAAAGGACTTTCGGTATGTCGGACTGGGCCATCTTCCAGTCGCCCATATCGCAGGTGTTCAAGGCTACCTCGTCAATTCGGTGTACATGGGAGGAACTTTATGTAAGTGCTTTGACTGGTGGCAGATGAGAAGAATTCCTAAAGATTTGGTGACTGACAAATACTTACAATCAGACTGGATGCCGAGATTTGACTTTGTCAAGTTCTGCGAGTATTTTAAGAAGTACCAAGCCACGTCCGGCTTCAGCGTACCACCAATCTATCTGTTGATCTCAAAGTCACCCTTGGTGACGGATCAGTTCGACACCTGGGTCGATGCTATTGCTGGAGCGGCGCCAATGGGCGAGGACCTGCAAGTCGAAGTCAGCAAGAAGCTGGGAAGAGGCACCACCAAGTTGCGTCAGACCTGGGGTCTCAGCGAGACGACCGGTAGTATTACGACTGTTCCCATCGACCGGACAGATCTCGGCCCTGGGACTGTTGGCGGCTTGGTTCCCAGTCACGATGCCAAGCTCATTGACGAAGATGGCAACGACGTTGAACCAGGCAAGGAGGGCGAGATCTTGGTCCGCGGACCGCTGGTCATCAAGGGGTACTGGAACAACCCCAAGGCGGATTCAGAAGCTTTCAAGAACGGGTGGTTCTACACGGGTGATATTGGTGTGTTTAGAGACGGCTGGCTCTACATTGTTGATCGAAAGAAGGTATGCTGTTTCTGTCATCCCAACTTGTTAGCAACGTGCTCACATCTACCAGGAACTCATCAAGTACAAGGGCACTCAGGTTGCCCCAGCCGAGCTCGAGGCCATTCTGCTTTCTCACCCAAAGATTCTGGATGCCGCTGTGATCGGTGTTGCTGGCGAAGGCACAGAGCTTCCTCGGTAAGATCTTCTTTGCACTATCAATTCTGTTTGAAATTGTCACTCACCTGTATCAGCGCCTACGTCGTAGCCGACGAGAAACAAATCTCTGCCGAGGAGATCAAGAGCTTCGTGGCCAAGCAAGTGGCCAAGTACAAACAGCTCCGAGGAGGGGTCGTCTTCATCCACGCGATCCCAAAGAGCCCCTCGGGCAAGATCTTGAGGAAGGACCTCAGACTTTTGGCAAAGAAGGATGGACAGTCATCCAAGTTGTAGATTTACAGACATAGATATCACATTTCACTTTTTGTAGACGCAATATGGCTTTTGAGTGTTTTTGGTGTATTGATGTCATGAAAAGCAGAAAGAAAATTCAGAGAAAAAAAAACAAGAGAGAGAGAAAAAAGAGACGCTGAGCAATCGTCCTCAAAAAAAAAACTCTCCCTAGTCCATATCCATTGCATCGTCCTCGTCGTCATCGACGGCCTGGGCATCTCCCATGACCTCCTCCTTCTCGTCCTCCTCCATCTCCTCGTCATCCTTCATCTCCTCCTCCTCCTCCTCCTCCTCCTCCTCCTCCCCCTCCTCCTCCTCTCCCAGGGGTGTTCCTCCGTGCACCAGCTCAAAAAGCTGGCGACCCCAGTCGCTCTGCTGCTCCAGGTACCTATCGATGGCCTTGGCCAGGTCGGAATGGTCCTGGAAGCTGTGGGGGACGCGGGGGTGTGAGTACCAGCGGTGTCTGGCTTCGACGAGCACGGCAAAGAGCTCCGCGAAGATACGCGGATCCATGGCTCGGTCTCGAGCCCACGGGGTTCGTTCCTGTACAGCAGCCTCGAAGGCTGTCTGGTCTCCACTGGCCATCAGGCCGGCGACGGCGGGCTCTGCGGCCACGGTGAAGACGCCGACGAGGGCCTCTTGGACCCTGCGCCGTCCCACAGCGCGAATGCGGGCATCGGTTTCGCCCGTGCGGACGAAGCCCAGTCTCTTGAACAATTGAAGAACGGCGCGATCGCGCTCGTTCTTGCCGAGAACGGCGACGGCACCGTATACCATGCCAGCCTTGGGCAAGTATGTGACGAGGGTGTACTTTCCACTCTTCATCTTGATGGTCTGCTTGAAAGAAATTTTAGAGAAAACAGGCAAGGAGAAGAACAATAGAAAGAAAATAAAGATGGAATACAGAGAGAGAACATAGAAAAGGAGAGAGGACTTACTGTGAGAGAGAGGGGGGGTTTTTGTTATGCGGGTGGATGTGTGTGATTGTTGCGCGACGAATGTAAAAATTGAGAAAGAATGTGGTTCTGGTATTCTCAAAAATACTATCTATGGCAGCGCAACGAGAGAAAGGAAAGAAGAAGAAGAATTTGTCACCCTTTCAAATCTTTAATACTACTTAAAGAAAATAATTCGCAACTAGACCAGCCCAACTGCAAACGCGGATGGAGCTGCGCGCGCCTGCCACGCGTGGTAGCCTGGCCTGGCGGATCAAATGGAAACGGCTTCTTTTCTTGCATTTTCCTCGTTTGCATCATTCACCTTGGTGGCCGATAGTAACTGGAGGATAAATCTGTCAATGTTCTTTCTGTGTCTCTGAAAAGACGCATTGAAAAGATAATTGACACTTTGGCGAGAAGTAGTATAGCGAGGAAACGTTTACTGTTTATTAAGGGGCTCTTTGTCGAGGACGTCTCTAATATTATTTGAACGGCCATCCAGGTGAAGCTGTTACTTGCAATAGAAGTGTATAGAGCACGTTGAAAATGCCAGAGGTAACGACAAGTCATGCATTTAATTACGATGAGTGTTTGAGAAGTTCCAGTCACGACTTTCCAAGGGTGCGACCTGGCCCAAAGATGAACTATCGTGCCTAGTCTGTAGCAACACGAACGTTCTTGAATAATACGGCGGTAAAGTGCAAACTAACATGCGTAGAAAGATGCTTGAACCTATCTCAAGACAAATGAAAATAGTAGAGAACATATGAAACAACCAGAAATCTTCATTTATCAATGGCATAAATGGAATAATGAATGAGTAGTCGAATCGCTGATGGGATAGAGAAAATAAACAAATGAAAAACCATTTGAAAACGCGGGACTTGGTTGTCTCTTTGTTTGAATTAGCCGGCTTCATTCCCAACAAAAGCAGAATCAGGCTGCCTGGTCAAGTTGTATGTAGAACAAACAGTCTCTACAACAGTAGTGGGTTCAATTCCCACAGAAACCCTGAATTTGTGCGATACCCTCTCAGCAGGGCTGGCGATCACGTCGGTGCCAACATGACTGGAATGCTGTGATACGTTACTAGCGCCACCCGGAAGGTCGACGAGTGCCGGTGGTTTGTGGGCTTGGATAACTTGACTATTCTCTTGTTATTTTTTGTCTTCTTTTGCATATTCACTTCGAATTTTTTTTTTTTTACTTAA